GTGTGTGTGTGTGTGTGTGTGTGTGTGTGTGTGTGTGTGTGTGTGTGCGCGCGTGTGTGTGTGTGTGTGTTTTGTCCAGGCAGAGAGGTGCCGGAGCTGTGGGAGGTCGGCTCCATCACGCCGCTCTTCAACCAGACCATCGTGGAGGGACCACACAGAGGTTTACTTTTACACACTGATGCACTGGCTTTGATATTCTCTGATGACGTGCAACACGACCACCAGGTGGCAGCGTTCACTCAGTACAGAAGCTGAATGTATAAACTCAGATGTCCTCTGTCCTCTTTGAACCCACGGTGCACAATTTATGGAGATTTCCTCTAAACCAACTGAGCCAGACACTCCGGCAGATATTGAAGATTAAAAACGTAACGCTGCACAGGAAGAGAAGTGTATTTTCAAATCACTGCTGACTTAACTTGTTAGAAAGCGTTCCACGTACTTTGCTGCTCTTGGTCTGTTTTCCACACTTCTGTTGGAGGGATCTTATAAAACAACTCATGCAAAACAGATGAATGAGGGATGATTATGTTAATAGCAACATGGACTAGAGACAAAGTCATGCAGCGTTGTTGGACACTAAACATGAAAGCATGCAGAGTGTGTAAAGTATATAAATCAGTCTGACACAGCAGAACAATACAATAAATACATGAGTTTACAACCAGCTGGTGCAACACGATCCTGTATGAGAGAACTAGATTTTAACCTTCTTTGTTCAAAGGTTTCTCTTCGTCCATCCTCTTTTTTCCTGAACCTTTCTCCTCTCGTTTCGAGTAGGTAACGTCTCCTCCTTCAGACTCCCTGTCGGTGAGTAACTCAGCGCTTTAAAAGAAAAAGAAAGAAGCCCTTTCAAGCATCTGTTGTCCTCTTCAGGACGCTTCGAGAGCCGCTCAAATCTTGTTTCCAATCATCTATTTTAAACCCCAGAATGGCACCAACTGCCCACGCATCTGAGTCACATCTCTCCATCTGGGATGAGCTCCGTGCTAACCAGCAGAGTCCACTCAACTGATCATGGTGAGTCTCCACAGGAGGCCAGCGCTTCATCTTCAGACTCATTCTGTCAAACCTGCAGACTGGGAATTAGCTTCAGTCTCCAGAATAACGTGTAAAAGCTGTGAACAGGAATAAGTTCCTGGTTTATTCATGCTGCGGGCTACTGAATGTCATTTAGATGTTGTGTATATCATGTCCAGTTATGAACAATGTGACCTGAGTCACTGCAAAGATCAGGATTCATACATTAGGGAATCTAAAGTTCCATACATACTGTTGATTTTTTTGCTGTCTAAGATGAAAGTGTTGTTGATTTGTCTCTGAGTTCTTCTTCTCGTTTGTGTTTCAATCATTAGTTTCACCAGCAACTACAGAGGAACCAGCTGCTACAACAGCGAAGAGGACCACTTCCCAGCCGCTGGCAACAGCTGGACAACCTGCAACCGTGACGCCGCAAAGTCAAACTACAGCGGGCCGACCGGAGACGACACAAAGACGGACAACACAGAAAGTAACAACACAAGCAGTGATGACAGCTCAGACAACAGCTACAGAAAGAGGAACAAGCTTACAACCAATCACGTCAACGCAACCAACCACCACCCTGAGAGTCACCACTGCCTCTGTCGCAACAGCTGCAGCTCCAACCACAATAAGAGCTCAACAAACCACAGTTAGAGCGACACCAACCACATCGAGCACAGTAGGAGCTCCTTCAACCACAGTAGGAGCTCCATCTACCACAGTAAGAGCTCCATCTACCACAGTAGGAGCTCCATCAACCACAGTAGGAGCTCCTTCAACCACAGTAGGAGCTCCATCTACCACAGCAAGAGCTCCATCAACCACAGTAGGAGCTCCATCTACCACAGTAAGAGCTCCATCTACCACAGTAGGAGCTCCATCAACCACAGTAGGAGCTCCATCAACCACAGTAGGAGCTCCATCAACCACAGTCGGAGTTCTTTCAACCACATCAACCATAGCAGGAGCTCCATCAACCACACCAGCCACAGTAGGACCTCCATCAAMCACAGTAGGACCTCCTTCAACCACAGTAGGACCTCCTTCAACCACAGTAGGACCTCCTTCAACCACAGTAGGAGCTCCATCAACCACAGTAGGAGCTCCATCAACCACAGTAGGACCTCCTTCAACCACAGCAGGACCTCCTTCAACCACAGTAGGAGCTCCATCAACCACAGTAGGAGCTACATCAACCACAGTAGGATCTCCTTCAACCACAGTAGGACCTCCTTCAACCACAGTAGGACCTCCTTCAACCACAGTAGGACCTCCTTCAACCACAATAGGCGCTCCATCAACCACAGTAGGCGCTCCATCAACCACAGTAGGAGCTCCATCAACCACAGTAGGAGCTCCATCAACCACATCAGCCACAGTAGGACCTCCATCTACCACAGTGGGAGCTCAATCAACCATAGAAAGAACTCTTTCAACCACATCAATTATAGTAAGAGCTCCATCAACCACAGTAACAACTCCATCAACCACAGTAAGAGCTCCATCTACCACAGTGGGAGCTCAATCAACCACAGTAAGCACTCCATCAACCATAGTAGGACCTCCATCAACCACATCAATTATAGTAAGAGCTCCATCAACCACAGTAAGAGCTCCATCAACCACAGTGAGAGCTCCATCTACCATATCTACCACAGTAACAGCACCGTCAACCTCAGAAGAAGCTCCATCAACCATATCAACGACAGAAGAAGCTCCATCAACCACAAATAGAGCACCATCAACGATAAGAGCTCGACTAACCACAGTAGGATCCCCATCAACCACAGACGCAGCTCCATTTACCATAAGGGCTCGACCAACCACAGTACGAGCTCCACCAACCACAGTACGAGCTCCACCAACCACAGTACAAGCTCCACCAACCACAGTACGGGCTCAACCAACCACTGTACGAGCTCCAACAACCACTGTACGAGCGCAACTAACCACTGTACGAGCACCACCAACCA